AAGGGTTTCTGTCTGCTTCAAAGTCAATTTTCACACAAATGTGAGCGGAAAGCTGAGTTTAGTCTGAAGAGTTAACCCCTTCACGTCAACTGGAACCACGAGCTGAATGAGGAGAAGCTGGACCTCCTGCTCTCACCTGCTTGGTGGCGTTGCAGTATTTGGCGCAGCCTTTGTGGTGCGTTTCGCTAAAAGGAGGGACCGTATATTCACATCCGATCTGATGAGTCTCCTGAGGAGGAACAGACAGATAAATCTGATTTAAAGCTATTATAAGTGATAATTCCACAAAAACTAACAAGACATAGAAGTTTCTGCCACTTCTTTTTGCCTGTTTTTTAAAGGATTCACAAAAACATGGCTGAAGCTCTATTAGTTTTTAGTAAGGAAGAAGGATAATAAAGCCTGGAATTAGAAATGTTTTAATTTTTTTCCATTTATAGATTATCAAATAATTTACCATTTCAACGGTCCCTTCAGGACACTGAGTCGCAGAGAGGAATCTGCAGTGAACACAAGGACCCTACAAACAGAAAAGAAGAACAGTTTTCATTCTTAGTTTTATCTTTGGATACAAATCAATACACCACTGTGCGCTGTGTCACTATCTGTTTCACATAAACAAAGAAGTCCCACATGGCCAACCCCCTCTAACATTGCTCTGCAACCTAGACTGTTGCAAGATCCCGTCTCGTAACCACCTGTGGGTCGGACCAATGACGTGCCAGCAGTAATTTTTGGGGGCGGGACATAACAAACCTGGCTAAGCTGGAGGAATCACCTGTCGATACCGCAATCTACTCAGTTTTAGCTAAAACAGCGACAATTTCTCTTTTTTTCTTAAAATGCAAAGAGAAGAACTTTGTGCATTTATAAATGGTAAAGATGTCTGCGGTTTTCTTCCGACAGGATTTGGAATAAGTTTGATTAATCAGTTACCGAAACGTCACGATTTGCTGCTATGTTTGGCTGAGAGCTTATTATGGAAGGCGGGTACTAGCTGTCACGTCCTCCAATCAGCTCGGAGTATTGTACTAAACGTCCCTCCTTTGTATGGACAGACTGAACGGCAGCCATCATAGATTGATGACGTAGAACTCAACTCAGTTCTACATATATCAATCTGGCTACTGCCAGGTTAACCCCCCCCCCTTAAAAGACATAAATCATCGTTATTGCCCCAGTTTGAGGGCGACTTTTCTCCACTGCTGATGAGATTGTTAACGTTTTATTCTGATCGTCTGCTGTGACTTTGTGTCCTTACCACAGTGATTTTGCTCTCGGTGACATCGCAGCGGTGAGGCAGGATGGGCAGGATGGAGGGCGGGTACAGCAGCCCATCAATCATGTGAATGACACCGTTGGACGCCATGATGTTGGTGCCCACCACATGGACTTTCTTATCCGCCAGCAGGATCTCTCCCTGAGAATGAACTGGAGCTGTGATGTAAACCCTCACTTAGATCTTACTCCACCAATCAGGGCTACTTACACTATCAGAAGCAGAGATGGTGACAAACTGATTGGCCATCGTTTGAATAACAGGAAGGGCGGCCAACTCATCGACAGTCAACTGCAACACAGAAAGAAATCCCTGCAATCAAATGTTTCTAACAGAAAACCCTTAAAGCTCATTATTAAAACAAACGTGACATTTTTTAAGTGCATTTACTGAAGTTTCTACTTGTACTGAGAACAATGTCTTCCTAAGAAGCAGCAGTAACCTTCTAAGTTTCCTCGAATGCAGGAAACTGCTGCTAAATGTTCAAAAGGTTCAGCTGCAGACAAGAAGCTTCCTGCTACACCCAGCATCATCTCCTACAGAATCATGTTGCCACCGGTGCAGAGCTTAGACAGCAGGTACAGTAGCAGCGTCCTTCCCAGTCAAACGCCAGCCAAATGGCAGCCTTCTACCCTGCAACTCCCAACCAAATCCCCTCCAACTTCTAACCACTGGCCTTCTCCGGGGCGTGCATTTTTTTTACTCTGACTCCACCCTTTCACTGAATTACAGGGTCTGACCAGGAGATGACGCTTATCTTTAGATCTTAATCTCCACAAATCATGAGAAAGAAAATTTTAGTACAAAGATTGATGTTTAAAAACGAGTTGTAGAGAACCAGCCAAGGGCCCATCAAGGAAAGTGGAGAAATTTTGAATGGCTGCTACTCTAGGTGTGACACATCTGCATACAGAGTGAGGTGGAGACTTATGGGCCGCTCTGAAGCCACTTCTGCTGAAAGAAAAGACTGGGAAAAGAACAGGAGCAAACGTGTTAAAGCCATTTTCTCTGAGTTGTTCTTCTGATTGTTTAGATGGAATCAAGAAAACCTTCAGGGAAACTTTGTCCAACCATCCAGGATAAAGTCTGCTTCCAGCGATATCAGCCTGGTTCAGGTTCTTCTAGAGGTTTCTTTCTGATAAAAGGGAAATTTCCTCTCTATTGTTGCTGCTCAGTAAGGGAGGTTACTGCAACAACACAATGCAAGCAACTGTCCACTGCTGATACCAGCTCATCCAGGAGGAGTCAGTCCTGCAAACTCAACGGCTGGATGCAAATCTGATGAGTTTTCTTACATCAGTCGTTCCAATTTTCTCTTGCGGGACTCCCTATGCTTTACCACAAGAAAAGTCAACTGTAGTAGATTAAATATCGGTATTATATAACTTGAAAAATCCCTTTTAAATCACAAAACTAACACTTTTAAAGTATATTCATTTCATTTTAACTGTTTTGTTCACCACGTAACAGAATTCAGCATTGACAGAAATGCCTTTAAAAAAGAAAGGGTCATTTATTGAAATTATTTCTACCAGTTACCCTATCAATTACATTGGCTCTCAAAATGGTATCGATGCCCCATTGGTTGGTACTCAACGATACTGATACCACCATTTTAGGGCTGGATCGGGGCCCCGCCCAATACTGTTATCAGTATCGGTGCAACACCAGCTCTAACTACAGATTGCTCTAATGTAAACCGGCAGAACTGATTAAGCCTCCTGGACGGGTGAGCTAAGGTCTAGTTATCTCTGGTTTGAGTCTGTTTTATGGCTGCTGTGATCCAGATGGCTGAAAGGTATTTGCTGCTGGTCTTTGTTTGATCCAGAGTTATCACAAGAGAGAAAACATCTTTAGCATACAAACAAACCTGCCTTTAACATTAATGTTATCCCAAAACAACTTTAATCATTAATCATTTCACTTTAGCTCTTTCAGCTAAATGTATAAATTTATTTTTTTAGATCTTATATCTTCCTGCCTGTGTTCTCCAAAGCCTGGCAGGAAGCATTGATGGTCAGTGATAGGCAGAGTGAGTGTTGGGTGATGAAGTGTTGGAGGGGGGGTTCTTACCGCAGCTTGGGTGAAAACATGGTGTCTGAGCAGCTCCTGTAGTTTATGTTTGGCCTGGAAGAGAAGCAGATCAGCTGCAGATGTTTATTTCCCTCTAATAAGACGCAGTCTCCCCACCCCCACCCCGGTCTTACATCATTCAACATGTACAGGATGCTGCCGTCTCGGGCCCGGTCCACCGCGTAATTGGTGGGGATGAACACAGTGAGGGGTCCTGGTCCACGGAGAGGAGGAGGGGAGCCACAGTTCTGTGGACATTAACGACCATCTGATTAATAGAGGCGATAAACTCTGACTGTCTGACTTCTCAGACTTTCAACATGCAGCAGTTTCTCCTGATAATAGAGATGTTTGTCTGAGAATCTGAGGCCAGAAAAAAAAGACTGAATGTTATTGATACTGAGCAGATTCAGATTTCCAAAAGGAATTATTACCAAAAAATAATTTTGTTGTTCAAGTAATCTGACCTTCCTCTGTTTGTCTACTTCATACCAAACTCTTTCAACTGCTCTGTTCGAAATCCTGGGACGCGTCCTTAGAAGGCCTGATTCGAAGGACGATGACCTCATAGCGCGGCGCCGAGGTCAGGTTAGATTCCAAGAGTCCTCGTTATGCGACCTTAAAATGCGTCATTGTTTTTGCCCGATTTGAAGGACGGGTCCGATGTATCCTCGCTATCCTTGGTTTACCCAGGATTCATTGTGAG